TCTCTTGAAGAGTCTCGGACCCATCACACTTATGAAAGTGGGAAGGGTTCTCGTCGGTAATAGCCACATAGTCTTTATACTTGTTCGTTATTCAGTTAGTCGTAATTTGTTAAGGAGAGTGTAATGCCCTTGGTATAAATATGGTCTGATTGATACTTTGTTTGTCTTTAGCAGAAGAATAATATATTATAGGATACAAACATTTATAAGTGAAAATATACAGCCTTTTAAAAATTCGACCTGAAAATCTAAGAGTTTAGAATAGGGGAATCAACATATTGAACCTTGCTTGTCTAACGGATCAGTCTTAGGCGTATTACCGCACGTGCCTCATTCCTATGCTGCGCGATCGAGCAAATGCCATCGACCGACCTACCATTACGAAGGCAAGTAAAACCCTCTGCATGTGGGATGATAGCTCGACAGTGATACACCTACCTAAGGGTGGTGACAACCCTTTGGGTAGAGGTAAGTTATACCTCGCGGAACCTTGACCTATCACGGGGTGCCGTGAGAGGTAAAGCGGGCACGCACAGTCGGAGTGGTGACTGATTATTTTCACTCATAAAAATCATGTGTGACACGACCGAGAGGTTCCTCTCTTGTAGCAGCGTAAGGGACCGTCAAGGTGACACCGTTGTATAGCCTTAGTAGTAGTGGCAGGTCGTGAAAGGAGAAATATGCATTCCATAGGGCAAACAAGTTTATACCTCCTTCCACCGAGAGAGGTAAAGTTTCTTCACCAAAGAGAGGTAGAAAGCTATGCTTAAAGAGAAAAATTCCCACGAGAAATGAATGTTGAAAAAACATTATGAAAAAGAAAAATCATTCATATTTATAAATTATCATTCCAATGTTCGTCAAATTCTAAAAATTTTCAGTTTTTTTTTATAAGTTCCCGTCTAAATATGAGTTTTCCCTTCCAACTACATCTATTTGTCCAAGATGGAATGAAAGTCTGAACGAGTTTATGAAATGTTTTCATTAAACTTTCATTCTACTACAACAATTTTTTTCGAATTTAAATTGGATTAACTTATTTATGACCGAAAATCTTTACTTAGAATGACAATCCAATTAAAATATTTCATGAACTCGTCCAGACTTTCATTCCATCTCTAGCATGCAGTTCAAATAAGAAGGTATACCCCATTCCTGGAAGGAAAGTTTTCAAGTAAGAAGGAAAAATTTTAAATTAGAATGACATTTTTAAAGATGGAATGAAAATTTAAAATTTAGAATGTAATTTTAATACAGAATGATTATTTACTTCTGGGAATTTTTTCTGTTGTTGCAGGGGTCCGCTGTATAGCTTTAGGAGCTGTGATAAGTTGTACAAGGAAAGAAATATGTTCCATGACATGGCAGAACAGCAGTTCAAGTACGTGAGGAGAAAGAAAATATATATCAATAGAACAAGGAAACAATCTGATGAAGAGCAACTCCCCTAATGACGACTTCCCGGATGAAGAGCAACTCCCGTAATGACGACCTCTCTAATGTCGAGAAGCTCCCCTCATGATGACCTCCCTGGTGAAGAACAATTGCATCCCATATCATGATGACCTCCCCGTTGATAATGATGGTCAACGTTGTGATGCTGTTGATGAATAACTTCCTGATGATCTCCCTCCACACACTCGAATCGTATGATAAGCCTCGCACTTTGGTTAACCAAGGGCTAACTCCACCCTACTCCACCGACATCGACGTAGCCAACACTGCCATGCCACGTGCAAGAACGCAACTGCGACAATGAAGCTTCAATGTGGAACTCGTGGAAATCCCACAAGTCAGATCGCCTACCATGCCAGCCTGTGACGTGGCATGATCAACTTAGCACCTCTGGTCCCCACGCGTACGCTAAGCGTTGGAATATAGGAAGACAACCACCATATCCGCCTCACACCATCTCACTCTACAGTGCCCACAACAACTCAGCGCTCGCACTTGCGGATGTGCCAGTCGCCTCGTGCCAGTGCAGCGCCCGTTCTCACCGTGACGTGGCCCTCCAACGTTTTGAGATTTGACATCAGACACCAATCCTACTTGAAGTCGCATTGTCCCTCTTCTTAAATGTGTGGACTTTCATGTTGTGTCGGGTTCTTCCCTTTGCATGGTTGTATAACATTGGAGTATCTGTGTACTTAATGAGATCACATTTTTTGAACGGATGGATGGAGTTACCGATCGCTTCTTGTGTGTGTAATCGTTGGTTTCTGCTCTTGTCCACGAATGAGGATATGTAGAAGCCCTCTATAGCCTTGCACGTTAACTTTTCTATTGTATGAATGTCTACGTGTGTAGGACACTCTTGTATACTCTTCCACTTGCATGAATGTCGACTGAATGTGAATGATGCACGTAATGGATGCTTGTCACGAGGATAACTCTATTTTCCTTTGGCCCGAAATATCATATTACTTGGAATTATTTCGACCCAACCATAATGACATTTTATTGCTATTCAAATCAACTCTTTTTTGTGATGAATGATTCCTTGTTCGCTTTACGCATGATCTTATGTGAATAACCTCTCGGCTCCTTTCTCTCGCACAAGTAGGATTTTTGTATGACGATTATGGGCCTCTCACTCTATCTGTCTCATATCAGTGATCATTGACCCTTGATTGGATTAACGGATTTGGGTCATCTACTGGTTGCATGAGTAATAGATCTTAGGGGAAACTATTAGGGAGTCACAAGAACGAGTTACAATTGCACTATGGGTCGAGATACAATTTCAAATTGCAGTTTGGGCAATGTAAACAACCCAACTTTCTGGCCAGGTAAGGTGCCCAAAGTGCAATTGCAAACTGTATCTTGCCCCATAGTGGAACTATAACTCGTTTTTGTGACTCTACTGAGTTACCCCTAAATCTTAACCTCTTTCGGTACATTTATGTGATCTTGTTATGGTTAAAATAAGGATGCCATCAGTTTCACCTTTATGAGTATGGCAGATGTGCTCCATATTCTTTTTCTTCTTCTTCTTTTTTTTTTTTTTTTTTTTTTTTKTGAAAGTCCAGGGTGTTGTAGAGGCCAGTTACTAGGCACACACTGGAAGCGGTCAACTGTGGTCGCCCTGAGGAGACGAGGCCACCTCCCATCAACTCTGAACCCGACGTGGACTTCTTGTATAACATGGAAAGGCCATGTGTCTGTGAGTGGGATATACGTGAGGCTACGACGCTGGTCCGCCAACGTTGTCAATACCCCGATAATTGGCAGTGTTCTGCTCTTGTGCACCCTCGATCCCCCTTTCTCAGTTTTGCTTTCTTTGAACGAGCTTATTGTCATCCCATGGCCTGTCGTTGCACCTTACTGGCCTCGAACATTGTGCTCAGACTGCAGACGTACGAGAATCTTAGGGAGAGGGGTTTGATTGCTTGCCATGTGGAGAACTGGAAATAGCAGAAAGGGCAATGTGATTGCGTCCATCTGAGTCCGATTCTGAACTGTGCGAGACACGTCATCGAGCTCTCGCTTAGAGCAGAGATTGTGCCTACACCCCCACAACTTCCAACTGGGGGAAAAAAAAACGCAGACTCGGAGCCCGGCCTGGCCATTGTAAGTTTCAAATCCAGAAAAGCTTTTGTATTTTACCGCGCTGTAGGTGTGTGTGAAGATCCATTGCCTTAGTCCCTTGCCTTTGTGTACACTTACGAAACCGTACACCGGAGATTCCAGGTCCGACCTGGAACTTCAACCCCTTTCTTCCAAAAATCCTTGGCCCAGCCCCATTTCCGCACTTTCTTGGGCCCTTCCGCATCTTAGCCCCCACTCTGAAAGCAAAGCAGTGCCCGATGTGAGGTTGTCCGTCACATGCAAAGCATGTAATGTGACAGCAAGTCTTGGTTGGACAATCACTCAATGGAAGTTTTGTGACGGAATAGCAGCCAGGGAAGTAGGGTACCAAGTCTGGTAGCTCTGGCAGCACACTTCACCCATAATTGTTTGGAGGGCATAAGTAAGCATGTAATGGCCATGCCACTCAAAACAATGGCTGAGACTACTGTGGAGACCACATAGAACTCAGTCAATGAGGCAAAACATGGTGTGTTTGCACCTGTGGAGGGGGGCTACCTCCCTGCCCTCTAGACCGGGAAAGGCAGACGACTTGTGCTTGGGACAGATGAACGTGGTCATGAGGAATGACTAGGCTCCTGCTTCTTTCCTAGCATGAACACAGCATTAGGGCCAGGCCCTTTACTGCGAGGCAGGTGACCACAAGTGCAGCTGGATCCATAGGGGTCTTTTTTTTTACTCTCGTGGGGTACCTTGTCTGCTGTGTGACTGCAGGGGGGTACCTTGCCGGTTTTTTTGTGGTTGCTGGTGGGGTACCTTGCCTGCTGACGGCAGCTTTGCTCAGATGACGATCAACGTGATGTACACGCCCTACGTCACAAACCCGAAGCCATTTGGAGAACGCATCTTCCCCTAGAACGGCCAAAAACACGCCTCGCCACACCACTCTCGAAATGTGAAAAAGACAAAAATCTGGCGGGCGCATCTGGCCGTGTTCTAGCAGGAAGTTCATTCTCATTTTGCAGATTTCGAGAGAGGTGTGCCGATGCCCATTGCCGTGGACGAAAATCACCGGCGGTTCAAAAAAAAGTAAAGAAAAATCAAATAAAATCACCGGCGGTCACAGGCGGGAATTTTTTTTTTTCGGTTGGAAGAGGGCCCAGTGCCCAAGGCTCTGACTGCAACAACTACGTTCAGAAACAAGTAAAAAAAGTCCTCAAGTGAGTATTAGGGCATCGCCACACCACTCTCCAAAATGTGAAAAAAGACAAAAATGTGGCGCGTGCATCTGGCCATGGTAGCGCGAAGTTCATTCTCCTTTTGCACATTTCGAGAGTGGTGTGGCGATGCCCTTACGCCCTCAGTTTTTGATGAATATATACAGGTGGTTGTTTGAATTGTCAGCTTCGAGCAAGACCGAACAAAGAGTCCTTCGGCGGGACATCCGTTAAAAGACACGTATAAATCGAGAAATGGTCCAAATGAAAAAAGAAAAAAGAAAAAAAAAAATGAAAAAATGAAAAAAAATAGAACTGCCGTATGCGCTATAAAAGCGAATTCCAGACCATTCTCATTGAGCGACGGAAAGTCCGACCATTCTCAGAAATGCGTGTCTGATTGATTGCCAGACAGCGCTGGAAGGAGGGGATGGAGGAGGGGAGAAAAGGAGGGTGAGTGAGGAAGGAGAAGGTGGATGTGCGTAGGTCTTGAGGCAAAAGGAGACAGGAAGATGATGATGGGGTAGAAGACAACGGGCGGATTAGAGGCGTAGTTAACATGGAGTGTTGTGGGGTGACGTGGCAGCTCGTGGAGGGTGCCACGTGGGAAGTTTGAGGAGGCGCGCTGACGTGGGAAGCTCGAGGAGGTGGTGACGTGGGGAGATCCTACATCGCGGGAACGAGACGCGAGGGAGAGGTGTGGGGGGAAGACCGCGTGTAGCTGCAGGAGGGAAGAAAATAAGCGGCAGGAAAAGTAAGTGGCGGGAAAAATAAGTGGCGGGAAAAATAAGTGGCGGGGAAAAGGACGGTCGAGAATGGCGGCAACAACCGTGGATGATGTCGCTGTGGTAAGTGGAATGGTTCATAAGGCGCATATGGACTGCGAGGCAGCGCTTCGCACCGCCTCCACGGCTGGAACAGAACCAGGGGCGCTGTCAATCGTCGTATTGGGAGCGTCTGGGGACTTAGCGAAGAAGAAGACCTTTCCCGCCATTTTTCACCTTTATCGTCAGGTACACTAACATTGCCTCCCATCTACAATAAAGATGACAAACTTAGCCGAATGACTGTATACCAGCACTAAGACTCTCTCTCTCTCTCTCTCTCTCTCTCTCTCTCTCTCTCTCCTTCTCTCTCTCTCTCTCTCTCTC